CTGTCCTGCTTTCTCACGCTCTAAAGAGCTCATCCAGATGTAATCAGACTTGGCTGATGTTATTAATGACTTAGGGGGGAAGGAGATTACACTCTTCCACCTCCCAGACCTGACAGCATCGCTCTCTAAACGCTTTCCAAAACAAGACATGTAGGAAGGAGTTAGAGTTCACGTGACGTGATGTGATTTGAAGTGTGTATGTGTCTCAGACTCATTTTTACAAGACATTAGAAGGAAGGAAGGAAGAAGGGGGTTAAGTTACAAGAGCAGGCAAGCCACAGGTTTGACAGTGGGAAAGGTTTCTAGAGTGATGGTGAAAGCCAGTTCTAATGCCCTCAAACCCAAACATTACAACAGTACTCCAGAGTGACAGTTCTTATGGTGGGTGCTCTCACTAATTAGTTTGGAGATGCCACTCCTTCTCTCAGAGCTGTATAACCCCAGGTTAATCATCTACAAGTTCTGAAATGATCAGTCACAGCCGAGCATGTCCTAATAACCAACATAGCACCAAAGACACATGTTGATTCATATTTCCAAGATTTCCGAACAAATTGCCTTTGCCATGTGACAGTGTTTTGATTACCAGCATGGCGACGTTGTAAAAATGGGAGAGGAGGATAAACAGAACTCACAACTAAATAACGCTGTGAATAATATACAGTATTGTAGCAAATTAAATATCATCATCTGTCATCTATTATAGCAGCAGTAGACAAATACTAAAGGCAGATTTCCATACTAGAGAGATGAATGTGGATAAAAAGAGGGAGCTTATTTTCTATCTAATAATGTATACACAGTTACGTAGATTGATCAGTGCATTCTAATACCATGTCACTAACAAATGTATTTTTTGTCATTAGTGTACAAGTTTCCTTGCACACTTCACTGCATGAGACTCTGGCCTAATCTTTATTTAAGTACCACTTTCATGTAGCCCTGTGGTGCTTTTGGAAAGGAATGTGAATTTTCTGCAGTGCAAATGGCAGATGCTTCATACTTCAGCTGAATCATCGTGGGCCAGACGTAGACTGTTTTGAGTCTTTTTAAAACCCTATTAAAACTTATGGCACTCATTAGAGAAATCAAGATTACAGTCACAGTAACAAACAAAGTTATGATGTTTCCAAACCCAACGCTCTCTGCATGTAAGTTGTCATGACCAGAGTGCAGAGGAGAAATCTCATCCTATATTTATGTAATTTAATGAGAAAAAATTGGATTACAAGAACAAACACACATGGAACATTTGCATAATGCCCTGGGCTGAAATTCAGTTACAATGAATTATGCCTGAGTCAAATGAATGAGTGACTCCTTCCACAGCGTACATGTCTCATCCTGCATTCTATCTTTGTTGCCGACATCCATATGTATGTTATTTCTCACCATTTTCTTCGGGCTTAAACACAGATTCTCTCTTTTGTGGCCAGGCATGCCAAGGGAGCCAGTTAAATTGTCCAGTTTTTGCAGTATTCACAATCAATGCCATTGATTTATTGTTGCAAACAATTGGGAGAAATTGAGGGGTGTGGGATTACAATCACTGCATCAAGGAAAAGGAAGGAAAGGAGGAGCTCGAGCAAATGATAACATGCTCGGCTGTGGGCGGCATGGCTATGAATAGCCATCCTTTATTCTGAGGTGGGATTACATTCAATTTAGAGGAGCTTTCAGGGGCAAAGAGAAATTAGGTGTTAAACAGTAGTCAGCAGGGTGTACATTGAGGTTAGCATGATTTGAATTTAGGAGTACAATTTATAATACAAATTTATTTCAATTAACACACTTCACATGCACATATAAAAACCAACCATTGTAAAGTTGGAAGGAACTATCAAAACACCTGCACCCAGTAATTTCTATGTAAGCCCACACATTGGCGGATTGTGGGTTCATGCACATCAAGAGGCCACTCATAGGGTCGACAAGAGCCATTTTTTCAGAACAGGATCAGCACACCCTGGCTACTGAATCTTAACTACTAGCTCTATCTGCATGTGTGCTACAAGTGCCAACTGGCGTGCATCAAATAGGCCTACGTTGACACGTAGTTCATCCCACATTAACAACAATCTGGCCAATTCCTCAAAACCATTCACAGACAACACCCTTACATCTGTCCAGCGCTGCCTAAGGTGTTATGTGTTTCCAGAAAGCTGTGGTGCTAATGGTTGGCAACCCATGAGCATTAAGACATTCATCTGCGCCCTCACTACAGGATAACTAGCTCCCTGAGTCTCACCGCAATTTAGTCAGGCCTCAGAATAATACGCTTACCTACTGCGGTGTGCTGCAGGCTCCCTACATATCTTATTTCCCAGTGCCCCATACTCCCACTTTCTAACAAAACACTCCATTGCACACTACTCATAGAGGGCAATGACGTCTAACCTCCCACTCTTGTTGCTCCAGGGTCAAATTAGAAGGCTACTCTAATAATTTCTCACTAGACGTATCTCCATATACCAGGTTTGTTGGGTTTACCGTCTACCTTGAAGCAATTTGTCCACGTCACCTATGTAGAAATAACCTTTTTGATTAGATAAGACATAACTTGATCCACATATGATAAGATTAGATTGATAAGAAGACATACGTGTGTGTGTCTGTGTATATTTGCATCCTGTATATGAATCTCTGTGTGTATCTGATATCTGTGTGTGCTTGTACAGGATGTCTGTATAACTGTGTATCCACACATCTGTGTCTCTATAAATTTTTGTGTCAAGCTGTGTGTTTTGGGGTTCGTGCTCTAACTAAGGTCTCTAACTAAGAGCTGTCAGGCTGTGTAATGAGGGCATTTCTCCTGTGGTTTGGCCCTATTTTAAAGTGCTGCCAAGCTCTTGGTCTGCAAAGCAAGATTTTTAGTGTCTGTAGGAGTGAGTTCACTCACTTGTGAGTGTATATGTACAGTACATAAATAAGATGTTTGTGTGTTTGCACAGGTGTACATTTTGTGTCTGTTCTTGGAGCCATATTTAATAGTATTTGCCAGGTTATCACAGACAGCATTTCAACTCTAACTCTAGATGAGCTAGATTATCTGTACCTAAAAGCCATTCTAAAAAACAAATATTCCCTTGACAACTATCCCGAATGCTGTGCAAAAAATATCCTCACTCTCATAAAGTAACTTATGTACTTAGAAGGACAGAAACAAAAGTCGGTGTGCTGTGTGAGTGAGTGAATGAGTGGGAATCGCATTTATTAAATGTAGATTATCAAATATACACTATTAAGGAATGCCAGTTAAACTGTAGTCATCCTCCTGAAGTGACACACTACTTACCCCTCAGCTGCAGGAGTGCTGTTCTGTAGCTAAGCCTATACTGTCACTTGAGGACAGAGAGTGAAAATAATTTTCCTATAATCAATAAATACCACATTGTACCTCACAATACCCTTTAAAACTCTGTGAACAAGTTCAACTGAGAGGATGAGGTAGAAGGAAATTCTCTAGCAACAGACATACACATTTAGAAACAAATATAGAGTAGACTAACTCTTATCTGATGAATTATTTTCTAATATTACTACAAGTCCCTGTAGCCACAGGGCTCCCTGGGGATCTCCAGATTTGTTTTGGGGTCAGACTGTAGATTCTCTCTATCGTCTTTCTCATTACTCCTCACGGTCTACTGTACAAGCTGCACAAATGAAACACTGGAGACGGGATAATAGCCTTTCTTGCAGAAGATAATGATACTGAAAATTGTGAGAAGTTATTTTGAAATAATTACCATAAACTGCTGTTACCAAAATGGAACACTGAATTCTAGAAGTCACTATTCAATGTTGCTCAGCTGGATGTAATATAGGGCTTTGACATGTTTTGTTAGAAAGTTTCTGCCCCAACACCCCAATCGTTTCTTTGAAATGGGGTTGAATGGGGGAATATAATGACATTCAGGTGTGGGTTAGTGGTCTATTGCTCTGATGAAAACCCACATGGCCTGGTTCCAACAGTCTGCTCTTCACACCAGAGATCTGTGGAGGTGAAGCATATTCTGTTCGAAAGTGACTACAGAGGACCCCAGAGAAAGAGCTGTTGAGGCTAAGAAAAAAAAGAATGGAAAGAAAGGGAATTTTAAAAGACCCACCCCATCATCCATCAACTGCCAGGCATACAAATGCAAAAAGAGGATTTAGCATGAGTTTCTGCTGTTGAAGGGATATTCTGCAAAGATTGCTGCAATGGTATATTTAAACTAAAAAAAAAAAAACTGTGCATACCAACACTTTAACCTCCATCTACACCATGTGTGTAAAGTATTATGGTTTGGAGTTGGTGCCTTGGGGCCAGCACAGATTGCAATCATTGTGGGAACAATTAATTCCAAATTGTTCCAGAAAATTGTACAGAATAATATCTGGGTTGCTGTTTCTGCTTTGAAACTTGACATAGCTTTCGTCACACAGTTTGATAATTGCCCTTAACAAAATGAGCAATCAGTGACTCAAGGGCTTGAACTGATAAAAAAAAGAACATAGTCAAGTCAGATTCCTGACTTTAAACCAATTAAAATGCTTTAGACTGACTTGAAGCAAGCCATCCATGCAGGGTATTCAAAAATACCAATTAACTCCAGCTGCTGAGTAAAGACTAATTGTCCAGAATACCTCCTATTTGCTCTGCAGGGTTTATCAGCAGCAATAGAAAACATTTGAATGACAGTTATTGCCACTGCAGGAGCGACTAAACCTAAAGGTTCACTGATTTCTCTATCCTACTCTCTACACAGTGATTTCAATAGTTTGTTTTTTTCTGTTTAAATTCACTCACACGATACATCTATGATTCTTCTCACGTTTCAAGTTTAATATCAAATGCTTTAAAGTGCATATGGAATTCACTGTATTCATATTGTGCATGCATAAAGCATAACTCTGTTGTAGGGTATGTGTTATACGTAGATGTGCTGTTTTATTATTCCGATTGCCGGAGGGTAAAAACTGTCTTTCATGACATTGCTTATGTGTATTCTTCTTTCCAGCTCTAACAAATGTGAAGCTGTGGGCCATTGACCGGCAATGTTTTCAGACGATCATGATGAGGACGGGTCTCATCAAGCACACAGAGTATATGGAGTTTCTGAAAAGGTGAGGATGCAGGTTAAATTGTCCCACAATGGCTGACAAATGGCCTGAATAGGGCTTTGATCTGAAATGCAATGAATGAATTAACTAAATGAATCAGGCGAAAATGTGTGAGCTGTTTCTCAGAAGATTCTTTACGCCTCATTTTAAATTATATATCTCAGCATTAATTTCTGGTGCGTCACTGAAGGTGTCAGTCATCCTACTGTAAGAGCACCTTGTACCTATATGATGTCTTTAATGTCCCTATTTGTATCAGACAGCCCCACGCCTTAACCACTTCTCTATAGAGGAGCCTATTATCACTTAAAAGGCCTGCATGGAGTATAGGACTCATCAAAAGACAGAGGGGGAGCAGTGTGCGGTGATCAAGATGCATGAGATGCAATTACAGTATAAATCTCTGTCAGACCCTATCTTTGTTCGACTTTCCTGTTTTTCTGTCATCCACTTTGGTCCTCATCAAGCCAATTATGAAAATTATACATCTTCCCTATATTACATGTGCCTACTCCAGTTTCACATGGCTTTGTTTCAGGGCTGATACTGATGATAGAAGTCTCTCATATGTCTTCACACGTCCTGTCACACATGCACCCTACTGTATTTATGTGTCTGCCGTTGACAAATCATAAAAGCATGGACTCTGCCTAAGATCATTTCTACTGAACGAAACCTCATATCGGCACTGTGATCACAATCAGACTATGACTATATTTGATTTGTTTCAAGGCAGGCGGCAGAATAAAGCACATAAGAAACCAGCTTTTCAGACATTTTCAACAAATCCTCATACCTAAACTACAAAATAGGCAGAATGTCAATATCTTCCTATTTCACTGTTCTAACAATGACTCATATGTAGCAACCTTTAAGTTGGAGGTATACTGTTGTTATGGAAATTAAACAAGGATAGGGCAAGGTCACACACACATGGTTAAAAGACATCAATGTTGACTGCTTCAGAGAAGACAGGACACAATCCCCAATGTCAAAGTCCCACCCTGTGTACACCCAGACATTCACTTTCACCTCTTCCCTTAGACCTAAGGGTCGTTTAATCAATCTAGTTTGTACGACATGTTTACCAGCCAACCCCCAATCTGAAGTCATAAAGGTGTAAAGTGAGGGGGGAGTATACTGGCTCCTTAAGACCTTTACATACTACTTATGCCTTAGCTACTCAGATACGCAATATATGACAGGTTAGGGAAACATGTTCATGTACTTTTAAGCGTTTGACCTTAATGACATTTCGTGTAATTTTTCTGCTGAGGACAGTCTCTCTGGATAGTATAGCAGTCTGACATTTGCAGGTCATATTGAAGCAGCTTCAGCCATTGCTGTATCTACAATACGCTTCCACCATGAAAGACGGTTTTAAGACATAGTGGACCAAAAATATATTTACAGATAAAAACACTTGTCTGAAGCTATTTTAGTGATGGGTTTGGCTAAAAAAAGACACAAAACACTGAAAACATCTCTTTACTGAGTGTACGAGCATGTACTGTATAGCAGCTTTTGCCTTTCAGTGGCTCTTGCGTAACAGTCCAACAGATAAGTAAATATTTAACAGACGTACGTATTGCTTGGTTTGGGCTCACTCTGTGTGTTTGGTTTATAAAGAGGAATCTAGGGAGGAAATCAGAGATTTATAGAAACATTTGTTAATTCACAATATGTAGACAATGACATTGTTGATTTGTTTCCTAGAAGCAGATCTAATAAAAGAGCTGTAGTTTAAGCGTAAGAACAAACACATGCTGTGCCATGTGAGTCTTCTACCCACTCTTTAACTGCTGTGAAATTGTATATTTGCTCTCACAAGTTGTGTAGGAGGAATACAGATGTAAACTGACTGAGAAATCCCACACTGTATTACATACGGGGAGTGAGTGTGCTTGTAAATACTTTTTTTATTGCCTCTTTCCAGTATTTATTCTAAATCAGAGTAGCAGCAAGGGTAGTGTTGATGAACTGGCAAACATCACCTAGGTGTGCAAAATGCATATTGCTGTGAACTGATATTGGATAATGGTGGCTTTTCCTTAGCTTCTGCCCCCTTCCACTTTAAATAAAACTCTAAGCCTATCGAGTAGAAAAAGTGCTTGTGCTTGTTTTTCTAGGTGTTTGCAAGATCACTAGAGAAATTCTCAATCACACAGTGTCATAAGTGAAATGATGTTAATGCTTAAAATGATAAAAAAAAATACTACATTAGTGAAACCACACTTCCCCATTGGCCTTGTATAATTAATTAATTTTATGTAACACAATTAAGCTGTTCAGAAATTTACTACAACAGCTTCACGGCTCGAGGGATTGAAACTCCATATGTTTCATATAGAGTAGGGTCATCCATTCACTGCCATGCTGATTAGTGCCTCAGCCAATGAAGCAACAACACAAGGATCAGCACAGTGGCTGGGGCTTGGATTGGGGGCCTGGACAAGATGGTTCTGATTACTGTAATAAAGCATGGAAAATGAAGGGGGGGGGGGAGATAGAGAAACAGAAAGAGAGATGATATGGGGAGATAAGTCCTTTGTTCACCAACACGGGTTATTTTCTCCCCTCCTTGATAAACATTGGACCAGTTTTATTTAGTAGGCTTGATAACAGGCAGATAGCGTTCATTGAGGCTGCTGGGAAGCAAACGGAACAAACAATAGAGCCTTATACTGGTGTATTCAACCTGAGGATCAGATCCCATACTGTGCAACTAGACACGTTGCCCAGTTTATGCTGAAATATACATATTGTGATACAGTATAAAGGCTATCTCCCATAGCTTAATATTGTTTTTTATGCGCCCTATATTTATGTTGTTATGTTATGTTCACTTCAGATCACAGGTCTGCTTTGACTATTTCAAAGCCAATACATATACCAAGCTGCCAGCTACATTGCTTTGTATCTGTCAACCACAAAAGATGTAATCAGTAATATATTTAATATGTATGAATCTATTTTTCTATCTAAAAGCTTTTCTATCACCTGCAGCGTTCCCACATTTCACGACCTGCAGGAAGATATCCTGAGCAAGCTTGCCGATGTCCTTGAGGAGGTAAGTGTCTTGTTCTACACCACAAAGCCTACTCCACACATCTTAATACATTTCCACACATTCTTTCTTGTATTGTAGTGAGAGGAGGGAGCCAGGAGGGGAATGAAGGCATATTCTGGAAAATTAATAAAGATAATGGAGATTCTTCTTGGAGGGGGGGCGGAAAAAGGTGTGGGCAGTTAAGATTTTAGAGCAATTGTTGCTCTTTAGTTGGTGTTCAGTGTGGTGATAAACTAAATCGCCCACCTACTAACTGACAGTTAATTTCATAAACCTGTTCAGGAATTCAGTATAGGCCAACTGCTGCCAAAAGCTATGACATCCATTTTGATTTAAATGTCAGCATAATACTCTACTGTCAGCACTTTCTCTCCTTAGAAGTTTTTATTTTTTGTGTTTTTCCACCATTTTTCTTTGTGGCATCCATAGTTTTCCATTCATGTCCATGGGTATGGAAATCATTTGAATCTTAATATTTGGTTGAGTTGTGTAATCCATCAAAGCAAACGAGTTCCATTATGGTGACGTGGTATTGCAGTTTAAGTGCAGATTGATTTAAAAAGTCTACACTGCATTACCTCATAACAGTAATGTAACACAAATGCATGCAGACACAATGTTTACTGTGATGGATTACAAAACTCAGGCTTCAGTTTCTAGTGTCTGTGTAAAGAAATGGAAACGATGGCCGCCTGCAAGCCAGAAAAATAAAATCAAAAACAGGAAAAGTAGACAGCAGTTGTGATCTGCAATTTGTGACTGAAACATGAACAATTATTGGTATGTGCTTTTTACTGCAGTTTTGCTGAATGTACTCTTCCTGCTGATACCACTGTGTATTTTGATCTGTGCCTCAATGTTACATTTTGGACCCATCTGTGCACAACTTCGTTTGATGTTTTCTCCAGCATAATTTAGTTATGCAAACACATTCTCATTTACACTTTTGATGTGTGTTGCTAACATTAAGGCTTTCAATATGTTCAATATGTTTTGCATTCAAAATATGGCCTTTGCCTACTTTTGTAGGTTGTTCAATGTCAGCGTGTGAAGAGAAATTAGTTTCAGATCCCTTTGCTTTAAATGAAAGATAAAGAAGGTCATTAATTATGCAAATTTTGCTGATTTTTTTAAATCTTTAAATCTTCAGACTTGCCCTCAGAAATGAACTGACCCTGTCTTTGTTTAAGCCGGTTTTCAGTAGGAGTTTGTAGTTGTGTAGCCTGCAAAAACAGCAAATTAAAGATTTGTTTTAATTAGTGATATACAATAGTTATTCTATATCAGCATGAATACATTGCCAAGCAAACACCCCTGCATTATGATGACCGTTGTTACTCTTGAAAAGACACATTTTAAACCAGCAATTAGTTACTTTCAACACCGAGCCTGCCAAAAGATGGCAGCCATTTATTAAGTTGTTTCACCTCATGCAGTGAAAATGTCATCGAATGACCCGGGCAACATGAACATGGATGAATGGTAAATGTTCAAAGATTACCATAAAGTTAAATTACTACCTCTCTAACAGTCTCACATTACTCAAATCTTTGACTAAGAATTTAGTGTAGCTGATTGCCTTATATGGTTTAATGGTTTCTATTTTTCTTCACTGAATGTAAAATATATCATCTTTGCATCATGTTATCATAGTTGAACTCTAAGCAATAACATTTGATTTCTCTCACATTTCTCTGTTATGTAATGACAAGCGAAAACACATCATCTATCGGTTAAGTTACATGTCAGCACATGTTGGCAGGGCAGGTCCTCCACCAGCAGCATACTGTATGCACATTTGTGTAGAGTTGCAGCACATCGGACATTTTTACTGATTCCTGAGGTGGGAAAGTGTTTTTCCTGTAGAAGTCACATAGGACACACATCACTTTAAAAACTTGCTTACTTAATGTAAAAAAATAAAATCATCTGCTGTGAGCTAGCAGCTAATGTTAACTAC